AAACGAAACTGAATTTTAGAAAAAAAAAATAATGATAATGATATAGACACCGAGAGAAAATGTTTATGAGTAACGTTAACCTCAGAACTAACGTCATTAGTGTAACTGCCGCCATTGTTTTGGAAAAGGGTATTAAACATAAATTTATCTGTTTACGTTACTTTTTTCCTAACACTTATTTATCTTCGATAGCTAATATAGCCTAGCTGACGCAAAAAAAAATAATTACGTCGTCATTAAAAGCGGTATCACTGGTACGAAATGTGACGCCATTATTTTGGGAAATGACGTCCCTGTCTGGAAAGCGGCGCCATGTTAGACGTGCCGTGGAACCAGGATCTGGCTCTGTATATCGACTCCTGTATTTCGCCAAACCTCTGCCTCCATATTAGGACTTGTGTCAGTGACTCATGATTCGTCAGCGTTTTGCCGAAGCCTGAGACTCAGCGCTGGACTCACCTCCCAGCATCCCTCAGGCACTCACCCGACGAACTCCAAGATGGCGAGTTCCTCCATCAGCAGCTGTCGCTCATCCTCGGCTTCGGCGACGGCCAGCTCGCACACCAGCCGCTTGCCGCAGCCGCTCTCGTCCTGATCGGAGATGATCTCCATCAGTCGGCCGTGGGTGTCCTCGTCCTCGTCCTCGCCCACGTCACGACCAAATCTCGATAAGAAAAATCCACCGCCTCCTCGGCGCCCGCCACGTCCGCCCCCACCTCTACGTCCTCCTCTGAACCCACCACGACCTCTGAATCCTCCGCGCCCACCGAAGGCGGCGGCGGCGGAAGCAGCGGCCGCGCCAGAACCGCCAAAGCCGCCACCGGCAGCGCTGGCGGCGGCGGAGGCAGCGGCTGCGCCAGAACCGCCAAAGCCGCCGCCGGCAGCGCTAGCTGCAGCGGAGGCAGCGGCTGCGCCAGAACCGCCAAAGCCAGAACCGCCGCTGGCAGCGCTGGCTGCGGCGGAAGCAGAGCGGCCGGAAGTGAATGACATGATGACCTTAACACAAAAAAATCAGATTTCAGAAAGAGAAAATTTTGATACTGCATATCACTTTCAAAAAAGAGCTGATTAGTAATTTTATAACATACGCAAACTTACAGACAGCCCACCACAGGAGTTCATACAAAGGAACAGGAAGGAAGTTCATATGAAATCAGTTCAACTCGAGACGAGGAAGTCAAACGAGGGAACTCAAGCAAAGAGACCCATCGTAAGGAAAATAAACGGTGAATCCAAAAGAAGGATCACAAGCAAAATGAACTCGATGGAATTCAGATAGAAAGTTAATCCTTGCAAGAGAAGAGAAGTCCCTGGAGGGAATTGAAACAATTTATTTAGCAGACAGAAAGTTGATCCTTCGAGGGAATTCTGACAAGATAACTCCTTGGAGGGGATTCACGCAGACAGGAGAGGACGCCGAGGGACCTACCTGCAGAGGATGAGCTCGAGGCAAGTTGGGACTTCGTGCACTGTCGACGCTCAACCTGCTCCAGTTGCTTTTATCTGCTTTGCAAGGCCTTCTTGGTGTGTTACCACGCCCCTGTCTCCTCTCCTCCTCCCTCTCCCTCTCTTTCTCGCCATCTTCTCCTTCTCCCTCTCCATCTCCTTTTCTTCCCTATCTCCCTCTTCCTCTCTTTTTCTCCTCTATTCCCCTCTTCTTTTCCTTTTCACCCCTATCTTCCCCTCTCTCTCCTTCTTCTTCCTCTCCTTCTCTCCCTCTTCTTCTCTATCTTTACCTATTCCTCTGCTTTTCCCTCTTCCTCCTTTATCTCTCTCTCTCCTTCTCTGTCTTCTCTATCTTCCTTGACCTCCTTCGTTCCCAGATGATCGATCTCACTCTCCATCTTCCTTCGCTGTTCCTCTCCCCCTTTCTCCCTGTCGCTCTCCCTCTAACCTCCTGCTTTTCCTCACCCATATGCTCGTCCTCTTTCGTCTCCAATTCTCCCACTCGTTCTTTTTCTCTCTCATATTTTATCCTTTCCTATTTGTCTTTTCTTCGTCTCCCACGCTCACTCTCTTTTATTTTTCTCTCTGCTCTTCCTGCATTTTCTTTGGCTAAGATGTGCATACACATATACAGACGTGTATGAGTGCCTGTTTATATATATATATATATATATATATATATATATATATATATATATATATATATATATATATATATATATATATATATATGTGTGTGTGTGTGTGTGTGTGTGTGTGTGTGTGTGTGTGTGTGTGTGTGTGTATATAGAGAGAGACAGAGAGATATGTTTATACATATGTATGTGTATATATTTATGTGTATTTATGTGTATTTATATATATATATATATATATATATATATATATATATATATATATATATATATATATATATATATGAACCCTATTTATGTTGACAAATGCAGAAAAGGTATGAATGAGAATGAATATCTTCACAATACAAGAGATGTATTTGACCGGTTTCGATTATATACATATATATATATATATATATATATATATATATATATATATATATATATATATATATATATATATATATATATATACATATATGTGTGTGTGTGTGTGTGTTTATATATATACATATATAGATATATAATGGTATGTATATAATCTACATATATATACATAGGTATCAATCAGTGGAGCTGACGCCGATAGGGGCGCATGGCTAACAACCAACCTTCCAGCCACGAGGGTCTGTCACTGCAAGCTGTCATGCAGGCCAATGGCTCACTTCTAATTGTGACAGGTCTGATCACTCTGTCCAAGGCATGACTTCTTAGGTCGTCTCACGTGCCTCCTCCAAAAAGAGACAAACTGATGGGAAGAGACAACCTGATGGGAATAGACAACCTGATGGGCAAGTATGTCCATTGGGAACTGGTCTAGGTGCCCATAAAGTCTGAGTTCGCGTCAAGACACGGGATAGCATTCCAGGAAACAAAACTGGGCAGTATCGGCTATACTGAAGACACATAGCTTGGTCCTTCTGCATAAGTACCAGCATTCCAGAGACTCAGATAGGATAGCAATATAAACAAATTTAGGATCGGTGACTTTGATATTGCTCAGTGTTGCTCCAGTGACTTTGGATAGTAGCTCTACCTATTATCCACGCAAGTGTTGGAAAGTCAGGGAGCACAGCCATGCCTCATTCCTGAACTAACAATTATGAAGTTCGGTAAGCCTCCATCACACTTTACAGCACTTTTATCACCAGTATATAGGTTTACTATTAGTCCAGTAATCCTTGTTGGAATTCCACTCAGGATCTCCCAGAGTCATTCACATTGAACCAAGTCAGTGCTTTCTTGAGGCTGACCAAACGCACATTGGCATTCCACAGTTACTCAAACCATTAGGATATGTCCATGTGAAACACCCAAAGGTAGACATTAGGAAATACCTGGGGGGGGGGGGGGTGAGGTGGGCACTAAGGATAACCACAAACAATCTATGATTAGTGCCACAGAACTCGGCACTCCGGTAAACCTTGCCGTTCTAAAGGATCCTCCAGAGAGAGATAACAAAGATGTGGTTAATCTTCTTGGCCACAGTACTCATATCACTGTACCATGTCCAGTGATAGGAGCTGGAGCATGGATAACAACAGCTAGAAATCCTCAGTCTCTGGGACCTAGCACAGCCCCAGAGAAAGAGGCTATTCTCACTGCTGGAATCAGCTCCTAGCCTTGAGAACCGACAAACATCAGATATCTCCAGGTATCCCACTGAAATAATCTGGTACAATGTATATGTCTTGCTGGGGACAACTGTCTACCTCTTTCGTGTCTAGTTTGCAAACATTAGTGGTGGATACGGAAATATACTCCACTACTGAAGGTTGGAATCAACTGGAGATGGCTATGGCTACCTCCTACAGATGGTGCCATCACTCCAGCCGGACCAGTAGTTTGTGTACCCACCCACACCAATCATATTACTGGCTGGTCTTCTCACCTCTGAGATGGCAGCCACTTTAACTCTCAACCCCTTCAGTTCCCATGATAGTAGGGGTAATCGATCATGCCACCCCAGCAGTCGCCCTCCCAACGGGACCCACAGCCCACCTCACTTGCTAGGCAGTAAGTAATACCCCTCCACCCAGCATTATCATACATAAAAGACACTGCCGGTGTATTTTTTCTTTAGGAAGATGGATTGGTAAGAACCACCTCCCCTATATGTGTGTATGTATATATATACAAATTTATATATACATATGTATATATATAGATATGTGTGTGAGTGTTTGTGTGTACGTATGTGTATGCATATGTGTGATATCACGGACCGAAAATCAGACTAACTTAGAGACAGTTACCTTGGAATTATAAAGAAAAAAATAAATAAATAACTTCTCAGGATGTGTATTGTTCACTGTTTAAGTTGTACAATAAATGTGTATAATTCTCTATTTATTTCTTCTTTGTTTCCCTGTGACATGTTGTATATATGTATAGATACGTAGACAGATATAGATGTATATGTCTATATATGATTTATATATACATACATATGTATATACATACATATACATATATATATATATATATATATATATATATATATATATATATATATATATATATATATATATGTATATATATATATATATATATATATATATATATATATATATATATATATATATATATATATATATATATATATATATATATATATATATATATATATATATATATATATATACATTGTGTGTGTGCACCTTCTGGCTGATGTAATTATCAGAATTCTATTAATAATAAACAAAAAATAAAGTTTCTTCTGCGTCTTTCTCACTTTTTTCCTCCTTTTTTCATCAGAATGCTCCGTCTTATCTTTTTTTCGGTCAGAATGGTTGTCCATCCTGCTGATACGATGTTTTGAAATCTTTTGAAACTCAATTTAAAAAATAGCAGTTCTGAGTTGTTCGGAAAAGAATGAACTACATTGTTCAGACCCATCCCTGTGGCACTTTTGGATATTCTAGTGCAAAATGGCCAATAAAATACTAAGGATTTACAGATGAGAAATTTTACTCCATTACCCACAAGTCTATGTAGAAATAATTTTATCTCGACAAAAGTATATTCATCGACACAGTTCGAACAAGTGGAAAACACAAAAGACAGCGAGGCGAAAATACAATTCAGATAAAGTAGGGGAGTAGACAGTGCACGAAGGGAAGGCAGCCACGGGTGAAATGCCAAAATTTCCTCGAGATCTTGAAGAAAGGAAAAACAGCGCCCTGTGCTAGAATTACGGGCTCTATAGTATTCAAATTTTGTCTTCCATCTGTTAGATCTCTCTCTGTCTCTCTCTCTCTCTCTCTCTCTCTCTCTCTCTCTCTCTCTCTCTCTCTCTCTCTCTCTCTCTCTCTCTCTCTCTCTCTCTCTCTCTCTCTCTCTCTCTCTCTCTTTCTCTTTCTTTCTTTCTTTCTCTTTCTCTCTCTCCCTCTCTCTCTTTTCTCCTCTACTGCAATTCACCCTCCCCAGCTGCACTTGCACAGGCCCTGCCTGACAGATGACACAAAGCAGACAGCTGCGAGTACAGAGGTGCAGTAACGGCTTTTTCCCCAGCTGGCTGGACTCTCTAAGACAGGTAGGCCAGCACTGACGTCATGATCTCGGTGCCGTTGTAGATGCATGACGGGTACAGGAGACCGCAGTCGCGCCCTTCCATGCCTCGCTCCTTAGCGAGCTTGTAGTCCAGGGCCGCCCCTTGAGCCCTCAGGTCTTCGCCGGGAACGATGTCGCTGCGGGAGGAGAGGGGGGGGGGGGGATACGTCTTAGTCGCTGATCTGTTTTCGTTAGTTTAGAAAGCGGTTATCTGTTGGGTTAGTTATGTTAGTTTTTTTGTTTTTGTTTTTTTTGTATCTTTGTGTTTGTGTGTGTAGGAGTTAATTTTTTTTTTGCGAGGGTTTAAGAGTGTGTTAAAGTGTGTAGGCGTGTTTACAGAGATAATTTTATAGGAATAAGTCATCAGAATAAAGAGGAAAATAGATCGAAGTTAACAACAAGCAACGCCGAAGGATGTCTAAAAAAAACGGAAAATCGGGAAACATAACAGAATTTTTAAAAATAATGATAATGATAATGATATAGACACCGAGAGAAAATGTTTAAGAGTGACTCTTTGGTTCTAGAAAGTAACGTTAACCTCAGAACTAACGTCATTAGTGTAACTGCCGCCATTGTTTTGGAAAAGGATGTTAAACATACATTTATCTGTTTACATTACTTTGGCTAAACACTTATTCATTTATCTTAGCTAATATAAACTATGAATAATTAATGACGTCATTATTAAAGACGGTGTCATTGATACGAAATGTGACGCCATTATTATGGAAAATGACGTCCCCGTCTGGAAAGCGGCGACATGTTAGAAGTTAGAAGCGTTGGATTCATACCTGCCCCCCCCCCCAGACTCCCTCCGGCACTCACCCGACGAACTTCAAGATGGCGAGTTCCTCCATCAGCAGCTGCCGCTCGTCCTCGGCTTCGGCGGCGGCCAGCTCGCACACCAGCCGCTTGCCGCAGCCGCTCTCGTCCTGATCGGAGATGATCTCCATCAGCCGGCCGTGGGTGTCCTCGTCCTCGTCCTCGCCCACGTCACGACCAAATCTCGATAAGAAAAATCCACCGACTCCTTGAAACCCACCATTTCCGCGCCCACGGCCGCGTCCTCTGAAGCCACCGCCTCGTCCTCCCCTGAACCCTCCAACCCCACCTCGTCCTCCACCAAAGCTCAGAAGGCCCAGGTTGATCGCACCACTGAAGGCGGCGGAGGCGGACGCAGCAGCCGCGCCAGAACCGCCAAAGCCGCCACCGGCAGCGCTGGCGGCAGCGGAAGCAGAGCCGCCGAAAGTGAATGCCATGATGACCTTGACAAAAAAAAATCATATTTCAGAAATGATAATAGATGATGTGATAATAAGGAACGGAGTCGGGCTGAAGGATGGCCCTCAGAGGAGTTCTTAAGGAAAACAAACAGTGTAATCCAGAGGAAGGATAACAAGCAAAAGGAACTCACTGAAGGGAATTCTCACGGAAACTGAATTCTGTGAGGAAATTCAAACAAGGTAAATCCTTGAAGGGAAATCAAACAGAAAGTTAATCCTTGCAGGTAATTCATACAGAAGATATATCCTTCGAGAGAATTTAAACAAGATAACCCCTTGGAGATGGAGTCACGCGACGAACTCGAAGGAATCCCAGCAGAGGACACTGAGGGACCTACCTGCAGAGGATGAGCTCGAGGCAAGCGAGGACTTCGTGCACTGTCGACACTCAACTTGCTCCAGTTGTTTTTATCTTCTTTGCAAGGCCTTCTCGGTGTTTACCACGCCCCTTTCTCCTTCTCTCCCACCCTCTCCCTCTCCTTCTCTTTTTCTCACGTCCCTCCCTGTCCCATCTACTTCTCTCTCTACCTTCTCTTCTCTACTTCTTTTTCTCTCCCTCTTCCTCTATTTTTCTCCCTCTCCCTCTCATTTCCTCCATCTCCCTTGCCTTCTTTCGACTTCATCTCTCCCGTTCGCTCTCACTCTCCATATACTTTACTTCCTCTTCTCTCCCTCTCCTCCTACTTCTTTTTCTTTCTCTCTCCCTCTACTTTTCTCCATCTCCGTCTCATTCTCTCCCTCTCCTTCTCCCTTGCCTTACTACGACTTCACCTCTCCCGCTCGCTCTCCCTCTCATTTCTCCCTTTCTCTCTGCTCATCTCCTTCCCAACTTCTTGCTTTTCCTTTCCTATACTCGTCCTCTCTCCTATTCAATTCTCTTATTCGTTCTTTTTCTCTTACTTCGTCTTTTATTCTTC